GGAGTTCAATGGGGGAATAAAAAGGGGACAGCTGTAATACTTTCAACAATAAAGATAAATTAAAAAATAAAATAAATCTATAAACAAAAAAGAAAATGGCAACCAAGAGGGCCACTGTATTCAAAATTTATCCATAAAAACACTGTGCATTAAAATTTACCCTAAAATGTTTCCCATTGCTGGTCAGAAATACTCACTGTAGATGCCCTAGAAGTATGTCGCTTCATTGTGAACATTTTCTAGGAGTTTTCACAGTTAAAGCCTTCCATACGCAGTCTGAACTCGAATCCCACACCCAAGTTTTCTCAATTTATGGCAATAATGACCTATCTGTAGTTCTTGTAAATCTCATGTGACTTTATGCTTTCTTGTAAATGCCATTCTTTCTGTGTGCAGTTTTCTTTTTCCTTCTCTCTTCCTGGAAAACTACTCATTTAAGATCCAGCTCCAATATTATCTAGTATTGTAGGAGGTCTTACCTAATCTCTCACCCTTGCTCTCTTAGACGAAACCTCTCTTCTTTTTAACTTCTGAACATCATACATACTTCTATCATTACACTGAAAACTTTACATTATAATTTTTTATATGGCAGCTTCCTTGCCTGGACCTTAATCTCTTGGGGAAGAAAGGTATTGTTTACTAGGGTGTTTTTATGTCTAGCAAGCACTTTGCCAGTAGTTGCTGCTCAAAATATGTTAATGGCAATTCCCACTTAGAGTTTGCCTTATAAAATTTGAAGTTGATAGATACTTGTTCACATAATGTGACTTCAATAATATTTAGGAAAATCATTTTTTGTTCCATACCAGCATATAATCAACTATTAAACTTTTTCTTACTAGTCACTGGTTCCTAAAGAGTCTGTAATAGATAGTAAAACCCTTTCTTCCACAGAAATAGACTAAATGCATATAAGCCTGGGAGAAGAAATACTCTGATTTGAATATCAAGACAGGAAGTAGTGAGAAGTATTCTGGGCCTAAAGTAGGAGTATAACAAACAGGCAGGAAGATCTGGTCACAAGTTCATACTGGGGTACAGTTTTTGAGACTTTTGTTTGTCTTTCATAATTTGTGTTTCATTGGCAACAGCAATCCAAAGATGGCTTCAAGAATGTGAAAAAAATGTGGTTTTAATTAGGAGTTAAATGCTAATGTATATATTTCTCTCTTCACCCCATTTCAGAGCGCATAAGTGCATCAAGCAACTCAACACAGCAACTGGGTAAGAACAATTGCAGTTTGGGTAATGCTTATTTTTTAATGATAATTCTAATAAGAGAGTACTTGATGCCTGTAATAGTTTTTACATTTTGGGAGTTTGAATTATTGTATATGCATTCATAGACTGTATTGTCTAAAAAAAAATATTGCTTTTTTGTCTTGGACAGGTGGTTCAGTTACTTGGAGCATCATCCTATACACAAAAGGTTTCAGGTTTGAATCTGGTTAGGGCTCAAATCTCTGTTGCAGTTCAATGCTCAGTCAGGATTGTACGGGAGGCAATTGATCAATTGATCGATCGATGTTTCTCTCTCACATTGATGTTTTTTTCTCTCTCTTTCCTTCCCTTTCTCTCTAAAATATTCAATAAAAACATATCCTCCAGTAAGGATTTAAAAAAAACTGCTTGTTTAAGATTGTTGGTACATTTTTCATTCTGAAATTATTTCTGTGCTTATTTATTACTATTTTAAGAACGTGATCACTGAGTAAAACAATTTTCAAAATATTTTTCATTCAATTTTTAAAACATAAGTTATTACTCTAAAATTCTTTAAAAAATAGGTCATAGTAGATGTTAGTAATATATTTTCTGTACCCCTTACCTAGCCCTACACTTTCCCAAACTTTTGTTTGCCATTATAGTTAACTTTTCCTTGTATTTTAAAAGGTTATTTTTGTGATGTTACATTAAGAATTTCATGAGGCAGAGCAGGGTAACGATTCAAAAAACCAGCTCTGGGCAGTTGACCTCCCCAAACCAGTTTTAAGTAGAGAAGCCGTATAGCCTCAGAGGCCAACCCCAAAACACTGCCACCCAGAGGCTGAGCCACAAACTGACTCTTAGGTGAACACAAATTAAGGCAGTCTGGATCACAAATACAGCCTGCTTTAAAATCAGGACTGTGATTTACAACACGGAGGAACAGTGTATCACAGGGAAATTCAACACTCTCCTAAATACCTGGCAGGACTAAGCAGATCCAAGCAACAGCAGCCTCCTGATCACCACACCCTCTGTCTGAGGAACAGCAGCTGTACGTGAAGCCTCCCCCCACCAGCCAGAAGAGCCACCACAGCTGTGAACAACACCCACCAGAGGAGCTGCTGCCAACTGAGGAGCAGCTGCTACCGCAACCACCCAAGGAGCAACCACAGCCCAATATAAATTGTGTTGCTATGAACATAGGGGTGCGTATATCCTTTATGATTGGTGTTTCTGATTTCTTGGGATATATTCCTAGAAGTGGGATTACTGAGTCAAACAGGAGTTCCATTTTTAACATTTTGAGGAAACTCAATACTGTCTTCCACAGTGGCTGCACCAGTCTGCATTCCCACCAGCAGTGTACCAGGGTTCCCTTTTCTCCACAACCTTGCCAACACTTGTCAGTTGTTTGATTTGTTGATGATAGCCAGTCTGACAGGTGTGAGATGATACCTCGTTGTCGTGTTGATTTGCATCTTTTGGATGATTATTGACTTTGAGCATGTTTTCATATGTTGCTTTGCCTTCTGTATGTCCACTTTGATGAAGTATCTATTTAGGTCCTTTGCCCATTTTTTGATTGGATTGTTTGTCTTCTTTTTGTTAAGTTGTATGAGTTCCCTATATATTTTGGAGATTAACCTTTTATCAGATGTATTGTTGACAAATATGTTCTCCCAGGTAGTGGGGTCTCTTTTTATTTTGATGATGGTTCTTTTGCTGTGCAGAAGCTTTTTATTTTCATATAGTCCCATTTGTTTATTTTCTCCTTAATTTCCATTGTCTTAGGAGATGTATCAGTAAATATATTGCTATGAGAGATGTCTGAGATTTTG